ACAGATTGGTCGATTGTACCGTCCAAACTATTCCAAGACTTCAGTTTACAGCTCTGCTCGCGCTACTCCTAACCATTGAATTACACGGGATTACTTTACATAAGTACCAAATTAGGTTAAGTTTCGCGTCTCTGCACGCTCTCATGCTTACTCATTCCTGCACTCTCAGGTCTGTGCTCTTCTATCATTTTCTTTTTGTCTAATCAGCAGGTTAAAGTGGTAACAGCATGAAATTAGATTCCCCGTCTCATCTCGGGGTCACGTGAATTCACTGTAGGCATTCAGAAGAGAGTGGTTTTTTCGCACCACATATGATGAACAAATCTGTGAGTGGGTTGAGAGTTTGACAAAACGTGACACCACATCCTCTAAAGCAGAGCTGTTTGCATTGGTAATATTTGGATCTAATAAACTGAAAAATGAGAGTAAACACTACCAAGACTTGTCCTTGAGTACTCACACTGTGAGATGTCACTTAAAGAAAGTACAGGTGTAAATAACAGCCTGCTATTAATAAAGAAAAAGAAAAATCTGCACGTTGTCACCAAATTGTGGACCCTTCCTTCGATCCAGATTCGGCTAAATGTTCTAAATAAACATAAAAGATAGTATTTGCAGCATAATAAATCATTTTCTCCATGTTATGCTATGCTGACATGATTTCAGTAGCAGACCAGTGTGAAAATAGGACGATGTCAACTGGTGATTCCAGCACAAGAGCTAATGAAGAATATAAGGCAGACAAGTTAGCCCACTGCTTTTAGATTATATGCCATGTTGGTTGTTGAGCTGTGATGTGGCACACTGCAAGGTTTACAGTTAACCGTTAAGCCTCTAGCTCTGACAAAAATGCAGCCACACCAATGATTTCTTTGACATGGTGTCAATGAGTTTGGAGCCGACTGAGAGTAAATGTTCAATAAACATTAGAGAAGTTAGACCTAGCAGTCTCCATTAGGTTGGGCCAGCTCAAAGTTGTGAAAACAGGGGGGTGTTCACCAGAGGTCTGTGCCTCCTGCTGCCAACAATAATGGATTAATCCTGGAAGGCTGTTGATGTAGGACTTTTCTCCTTGTGAAAGTAGCAACAATAAATGTCTGACCAATGAGAATTTGGTCACATGAGAGCATATTGACCAACCTGTCAACCCGGGAAACTACAGCCCTACTTTCAGATATGTCATCTTCAGGTTCCTGATATTGTGCAAGATGAACGTGGCCTTTATATCTAATAAATTATACATTATCATACACAGGGATTTTCCCACTATGGGTAAAAATGTCTGCAGTGTTACAGTACAGTTATAACCAAACACAGTATGTCAGATGTCTCAAATAAATAAAGAACGGTGAGAAGTGAGCACCGTTAGCATAAAGAGACTGGCTGGTTACGTTCACTTAGAGAACAATAATTCAGCGTGTTATTTTTCTTCTATTACAGTACATATGTATTATATTTTCAGTTTGTGTGGAGTTGAAGGCCTGCCTGATGTTTCATTTCCACCTCTTGATTGCTTCAGAAACAAAAAGTAGAAGAGAAAGCTGTCTGAGCTGGTTTGTTTGCCTCTTTGAAAGAATAAAACCTACACTAAACTGTCACTGGATATTGTTGTACATTTTCATGCACATCCGCATGTCCAACTTACTTATAATTCTGGTCATATTATTTGTAAATCAGATTTCTGCACAGATACATTCCAGGAATCATGTAAAATTCATATTTGTGCTGACCATGGCAGGCTGCCTTGCATACAAGATTTTTTGCTTCCCGTCAGCGGTAATCTGGGAAAAGACGGAAGGAGGATGCATTATTTGGAGACGGATGTGACATGTTTTGTTGTGCTCAAAGTGTTGTTCTGAATTGTTTCTTTGTTCATTAACAGGAGCTTTTCAGAATGCAATACTTTTCTCCCAAACTTTTTGACTCGTTCACAATCTAACAAACCCCCCAACAAGTCAAAGCCATTAAAAAAGGGATTCTTTGATGTATGATATCAAGCAGTGCAAATGACACTTAGATATTTTCCATTATGTGTATTTTTTTTGTTTTCTGACATGCACTTAAATGAATGCAAATACCATGAATGAAGAGGCACGATAAGCTAAGAAGTGCACTAGTTTCCCTGGATTTTATATCGTCACGTGGTCCATGTACTCTCAGTGAAAACATTCTCTTCAGATGCTGTTGAGAAGTCTTTGGGTTGTTGTCTGTGATAGAACCCTGTTTTAATGGCTACAAAAGGTAGTTTGGCTGCAAGTGAGACTGTTGAGGAACTTTTAGCCTCAGGTTAGGGTTCACCTAGAAAAAAAAATAAGGCTCCTACAGCACATGCACCAACATGACACCATTAAGCTTTGTTAGTGAAATGTAAAAGTAAATCAACGCTGCCCCCTGCTGGTACAGCAATGCATTTATTGTGGATTAGGTTGTATGTTGCTGCATGAAATAGATCATCGGACACATTATAATGTATATAATTTGCTCAGAATCAAAGCAGTTACTGTAGAAGCAGCATGCAGCCTGTTATCATCCAGTTTGTTGAATATGAATTTATGATGAGTGCAGGGTGAGGAATGAATACCGTGATTGAACAACAACTAGCTGGAGGCTGTGCACAGCAATGCAGTGTGATTATCATGTGCACATCGCAGCACAGTGTCTCTTTTGTTGTCACTTCAGTCTATGACTTAAGTCGAGGGAAGTTGGTCCTCTATGTGTGAGAAGAAATGACGTGCTCTTCTAGTTTCTTTGTACAGCCAGAATACTCAGTTGCATGTCCTAAATAGACTTTTCTTATTGCTTTTTCTATTAAAAACAGATGCTTGTTTTTTTTTTACAGATTTAAAAGTCTGTCCTCATTTCCTTTTTTTTTTTTTTTTTATAATTCTACAGATATCACATTTTTTTCCCACCTGAAATGTATACATCATCTGGTTAAAGCTTTTGAAAACAGCAAGGTTACGTTAGTCCCACTTACATCCACACGGTGTTCGGTGACGTTCTCCTTTTTACCGTAATCACGGCCTCATATTATGCTACTGTAAGTTTAAGGCCTGCTGTGATTACAGAGCTGGTGACCACCCTCCATGCCCTGGGAGGTAGACAATTCTCTGGAAATTGCTACCTACTCACTGCCTTTTGCCTCCAATAAAAGCTTTATAGAGTGTAACTGTAATTTAGGACTACTGCGTTTAGAAAGGCCTCGGTCCAATAGCTGCGGAGAAACTGGTTCAGAAACTTTGGGGGTTTGTTTAGCAGGCGTGGAAGAAAATTTTGCTTTCTCAGCCTCTTTACTGACCAGGAAACACATACGTAGTCACAGCTGTGCAATGTGAGGACACAGCAGTCATCTCCACTTGAATAACACATGTACATCTAAAGTAATGATTAGAAATGCCTTGTTTCCTCCTCAGTTTCACTTCCATGAGATTAAGTGATATTCACTTACAAAATATCACCGAGTTTAAGATCATTACAGAGTAAACGGTTAATGCAAAAACAATTAGAAAAAAAAAAAGATGTTTTTAAACAACACATAAAATATTGTTTTGTTTTCAGCTTTTGAATTGTAAATATTTTTTGCTTTCTTAAACTTCTGTGATAGTAAATTGAATATGTTGGGGGTTTTGAACTGTTGCTTGGACAAAACATTTAAGATAAGTGTGTAGCGATATACTGGTATTGACGATAACCTTGATTATTAAAAAGGGGAAATTTTAATAGTGCACGTATGATAATGTCTTAAATAATCCACCACCAATAACTCTGTGCTCCACATACAGTAAAGTTATGGTTACAGACTCTCTCCACATTCATATTTTGAGTGTAAATATTTGCCCCAAAAAAGTGTTAAAGATACATTTCACTCATATTTATTTAACTTTTTCAGATTGTCTATAGATGTTGTTTTATTAATAGTGTTAATTCTTTCGGTTATGGTGGTTGTGCAGCAAAAATCTAATGTTTCGACAGCCCTGATTTGAAGATGTCAACCTATAATGAACAGTTTTTAGTATTTTCTGAGCATTTAGAGCCCACATAGTCAATCAATTAAGTGAGAAAATGAACTGCGTATTAGCAGATCATTAAAATAATCATTTATTACGACTCAAAAAGCTCATCTTTTGTAAGATGTTGAAAAAGGCTGAATAAAAAGACCCACTTTCGGTACTACTTTGACACCCATGTAGAAATGTTGCGCGACTGTTTGTGCAGAGGAAATGAGCCGTGTGTAATAAGTCCTTTAATCCTGCTGCGGTGTTTAGACAGTCAGAGCTGAATTCTGTCGCAGCAAGTCAGCCTCACTGTTCATACAGACATTTGTAATCTAAGATGCAGCACAAAGTACAAGTGAAAGCATTAACTGTCATTGAGTTGGATTTGAAATCCCCTAAATATCCACAGTCATGGCTGAAAAATGGAACTCTATTTTCTTCTGTGATACATTAATAGATGCCAGCAGGCAGAGTAACTACATTAAACTGTTCTGAAATAAAGGTTAATATGATAATACATCAAATATAACAGATACAAACATCTTCTGGTGGGTTTGAGTCACACTTAAGAAGAGTTGTCAACTAATAAATGAACTATTTTTATTGATTAGTCAGTTTGAGTAATTTTTTTCAGACTGAAGCTTCTTAAATGTGAATATGTTCGAGTGTCTTTGCTCCTCTGTGAGCACAAACTGAATATCTTTGGGTTGTGGATAAAACAAAGCATTTAAGGACATCATCTTGGGCTACTGATCGACATTTTACCTATTATTTGACATTTTACAGACTAAACAACTAATCGAATTAAAGGGGAAAATAATCTATACATACACAAAAAGTCCTACACTTGAGTAATAAATATTGCTGTACATTGTGTTTAACTTGTAAGTTATCATGAGTGCCCCTCTTAAGCCATCTCCACAGGTAAACTGAATGTCTTTCTGTGTGTTGTATAAATTCAGTGTTTTTGTTGTGTTTTTTTTTACAACTGTATTTTGACCATCAGGTTTGCTGGAATGGGTAACCTGCTAAAAGTCCTAACAAGGGAAATAGAGAACTATCCACACTTTTTCCTGGACTTTGAAAGTAAGTCTGGCCGAGGAATCGGAGCAAAACATGGCTGGAGAAAGAATTGTGGGGAGGGAAGGAGGTGTAACCTGCTCAGCTGTTTCCTTTCTACCGGCGGGTCTCTGCTCTCGATGACGAAGCCATGAAGGAGTCTGCTTTAATCCACTCTTTTCACCTTTTTTTTTCTCCTTTCCGTTTCATCTGCTCTGTCGGCTCTGATCTTCCGTCTCTGTTCAAATAACTTTTTTTTGATGACTTTCTAACATCACACGTACTTTTCTTCCTTTCTCTTTCTTATTTTCTCTCTTGCAGAAACCAAATGGGGAATCTGTTAAAAGTGCTCACTTGCACAGAGCTTGAACAGGGGCCAAACTTTTTCCTTGACTTTGAAAGTGAGCACAGCTTATGCCTGTCCTTCTGCTACACCACCCCCTCCTTTCCCCCTTAAATCATTCATCCTTAAGCCTCTCTGTAGCTGCTCCGACTGGTCAGGGGTCAGCCCATTCAGCTGCTGAATTGTCAACCTTCCTCCTTTGAATTTCCAATGTTGACTCTGAACGCGGCTACTTCAATTCATGATTGATTTCAGTATCGTTTTGAAACAGGAATTCTATTCTGCATGCCAAGTGGAAGAAGAATGGATCTGACCCCTGACCTTTGTTGTCCGCTTTTACTAATTTTACTGCATGCAACTGTTTGTGCACCTATGACACATCTGATACATGCACATGTGGCACAATGTGATACTAACACTTTACTGATCAGCTCCCTGTACAGTGCATTAAACTATGTTTTGTTTCTGCCATTTAGCCGTGTTTGTTCTCTAGTTGTTATTTAACCCTCTGAACCACGAGCAGATTCTGCACGTTTGTTGCTCCTGTAATATTTTTACACATTTTTCACAGCGACATAAAATTCTACACCTCTGTAGAAACAACACAACCATGACTAGAAGTAGAGAGAGTTTTACTGCCATAAATCATAGAAAAAATACAAAAGTTGCATTGTTTCATTCATGTATTTAAGATTTTCTTCATTATTTTAACAAAAAAAAAAACCTGGAATCAATATGTATTTTTGTCCACGGGAAAAAAAACAAGGTTCTATAGACCATAGATGTTTTATAACTCACATCTTTAATTTGACTTATCTGCTCTGTGTAAACACAACCTGCAGTTCAACCCAGTTCAACCGAATAGTCTCTGAATTTTTCTCACGTGACTGTTGTTCAGAGATGAGTCACGAATGGCTTCATAGTTGTGCCGAGGAAAGCAGATTTTTTTGTTTTTGACAGAATCTGGTTCATGCATATAGTTTATTTGTGCCAGATTTTTACATTACATATGCAGAATAAAGTCATTTTGGTAAAACATCCTGATTTCAAGCCCTTTTGTTTGTTTTTCCCAACAAAATCCAAATTTAGCCTTTTTACGTGAGAAAATCTATTGAATCTTGCTGTTTTTACAGTTTTGTGGTATAAAAAATGGTGTAATTTTGGCAACTGAAAGAAAAACCTGCCAGCTCTTGGGTTCAGAGGGTTAACTATGTAGTCAGCATTGGTTCAACATTTAGGTGTTAAGATAGAAAACATTCAGCCACATTTCGTCTACATTTCGCCAATGCATTACTGCTCTGTTTCCTCATTTTCACGTAAAGTAGACAAATGAGATTCTTTTTTAACAAAGCCAATAAATCTGCTTTGGCCTTTTTCTGAAACCTCCTGCAGAAAAAAAAAAACAACACAATACGCCTCCACAGTGGCATTTCAGCTGCTCTCACAATGTAGCCAACCTCAGGCTTTGTTTATTCAGCAAAGAGGAAATGATGGGAGTGGAAGGTTTTTGAAATGCAAAACAGACCCCAGACAGAGAGTTTTAATGTCAGTCAGGCTCTATATTTAGAGCTGCTCTTGTAGTATCTGCCTCTCTGTGTTCATGATAGCCAAAGCTTGTGTTCTGAGTTTCAAGCAGACACCTTACGATTATGTATTGTGTTAAAAGAGCTTACATTGGCTCACACATTATCACAGTGTTTTCCAGCAACTACAGCGAACTGAGCTGTGGTATTTTTAGATTATTTAGAGAGACGTGGGTTGTGCAGAACATTGCAAATAATTGAAGCACATTTCAAGGCACATTCTGTGCATTTGTGCTGTAAACATGCAGGAAATAGAAACAGAAAGCCAGTGAGCCTGTAGGTAGTTTGCAGGCGTGGCTGGGTTCAGTAGAATCCTGTTCATTTCAGTTACACCCTACATCAAACTTTTAAAACACATGCTCATTTTTTTTTTTGCACCTGTCTGAGGTTCTACTGAGGCTCCATGTTTATCCAGGAGCTGGCTGCAGCATGCTTTGGATGCCAAAGACTTGAAAACACACAAAGTATTTCACAGTGGCAGAATATTTGATTTAAGAGTTTATTTTTTTCAGACACACCATGTATGTCCATACTTCTTCGACAGTCAAATATGAAAATATTGCTGCCTCAGTGCACCCAGAATTCAGATATTTTTGTGTTTTACTAATAAGAAATGTGTTTTCTTTGGAAGCTCATGGCAGCATGCAGTAAATGCATCTCGCCCCAGTGTATTCAGTTACAGCGGTACAGAAACCTTATACGGTGCTTGATCTGCTCTGAAGCCATTCAGTCTACAGTGAGGTTTAATTCTCATGTAGACAATTGTAGATTTACCAGGTTTGCATTTCAAATTGAAGGCATCAAAATAGATGCCCAACGCAGCAAATGTTGGTGCTTGACTGTAAATGGACTCATGGTGGTTCACTGTATGCTTTCAGCTTCGACCCCACACAGCTCAGTGTGCTGAACGTTTTTACTCTTCTTCATTATAAATGATGGACTTTTAAATTGAGATAAACCAAAAATTTACTTTGGAACAGCAAAAACATTCAGCACACCTGCCTCTGTTGTCCCAGTGAGTGTCACGATGATTAAAAATGCTGTCATTGTAATTTATTTATTTAAAGCCATTTCACATCAATACAGATAAAATATATGATTCTGTAATATTAAAGAACATTTAAGAAGAAGACAGTTAAATCTCCTTCACTGTAGGTAAATTACAAGTGGTTCTTGATGTGAAAAAGCAAGAATTTTGAGTTTTGTAATGTGTTTGTTTATACGCTGATGGCTGTGGTAGTTAGGCTAGCTGTTCTATGTGTGTGTTTATGTGTCTATATGTGTGCATTAACATGTGTATTGGGGTTTGCTGTTAGATGCGCAGCCAACAGAGGGAGAGCGTGAGGTTTGGAACCAGGTGAACTCAGTCCTGCAGGACTCTGAGAGCATCCTGACTGGACTGCAGGCGTACAAAGGGGCCGGCCAAGAGATCAGAGATGTAAGAAAACACTCACAAAAACACTGCACACAGCCTGTCATAAGTTTTAAAAAAAGCTGCATGTGAGCCACAGTCCAGATCTCTTTACAAATCTGTTTACCCTTCAACATCCACTTAAAGACTTCCTTTTAGCTTGTCAATAGATATTTTTTTCTGGAAAACATAAAATCAGCAAAGAAAAAAAAACTGTTAACTTCATGTCTGAGTATTTCCATCTTAAAGCTGCAATTTTTAAAACACAGATTTAAACTAAAGGGGTTTCATACATGACAAAGCTGAGGAATCCTGTCATCTGTCAACTTGCAATCCGTTCACCTCGCTGGATCATTACTCTCAACGTTATGTCAACTCTGAATGCACCAAAACAACAACAAATAGTAGTTACTGAACGTCACTCTGTTTTTGTGAGCACAGATGAAACAGAGGATTGTTGTTAGCCTGTATGGTGAATTTTACATTGTTGATGCAGATGTTGGAGAGGAGAAGACAGCTGCTCAACAAAGACATGAAAAATGCTGCTTGTTGTACTCACTAAGTTTAACCAATCAGCATTTGTCTTCTCTGAGTTGACCAATCAGCATAAAGCCCTTCACAGCACTTTTTCATGGCTGCCAACCAATACCCACCCTGAATTCAGTACTTTTTTCTTCCCTTTAACCAGCCCTTAAAAAAGCTTCTATAGAGGCGGGTCTTACGGTCAGAAGATGCACAATGGTTTGGACCACCAGAAAACAGTCATTTAATTGCAGAAAGGAATTATTTTCATGGGGAAAAAGTTTTTGAATGCTGTACTTTGTTACAAAAAGATGAGTTTTAAGGGGCTTCTCAATGACTGGAGAGGGAGTTTGAATTAGTCACAGAACAAGCTGCAAACCAAACCCTCTATCCAGAATGTACTAATCAAGAGACGTTTGCTGGTTTTCTGATGTTTTTTTTATTGTTCCTCTTCTTTCCAGGCAATTCAAAACCCCAATGACCTCATGCTGCAGGAGCGAGCCTGGAACTCCGTGTGCCCGTTGGTCATCAAACTAAAGAAGTTCTACAGTTTCTCTCTCAGACTAGGTGCGGTCCCGCTGCCAAACACAATGTGCTTGGGCGTGAATATTTTCTAACTTCACTCTTTAACTGCATGGAGAAATATATTATAAATTGAGAGGAGTTTTTCAGGGTTTTCTGTGTGTGTTTGTGTGCAGAGGAGGCCCTGCAGAGTTTGCTGGAGTGCCTGACCTGTCCGCCCCTGACGCCCACTCAGCACCTGGAGAGAGAGCAGGCGCTGGCCAAGCAGTTCGCAGAGATCCTCCACTTCACTCTGCGCTTCGATGAGCTCAAGGTCTGCTGGAAACGCTGAACTTAAACTTCAACACATTGTGTCTTCATTTTATTGTTTTATTCATTGCATAAAGTAATATTTAGTTTATTTATATGTGGTGAATACATTTGTGTGATAAATTTGCTTGTTTCTTGTCAGATGAGGATTCCTGCCATCCAGAACGACTTCAGCTACTACAGAAGGACCATCAGTCGAAACCGGATAAACAACATGAACGTGAGTTATCCACAAAATGAAAATGTTTTTTTTTAAAATATATTTGTTTATATCTTACAGTCTACCTTAGTAGGATTGTGGTCACTGTGGGGTTTTTAATGTCACATCAGAGTCCAAAAATAGAACAAACTGATCAGATTTGGTCTTTAAAGCCTTAAATTGAACCCTCCTATGCTCCCACTTGTAGTTCATGTGTTTGTTTCTTCTCCCACAGTTGGACATTGAGAGTGAAGTCAACAACGAGATGGCCAACAGGATGTCTCTGTTCTACGCTGAGGCCACTCCCATGCTGAAAACACTCAGCAACGCAACCACAAACTTTGTGACAGAGGTGAGAGATTATTCTGTGGCTTTTATTGAAGTACTTGAGTCACATCTAGCAACTATTGTTTTTGTTGTTTTAATGAAATCATGATTGAAGCTGTCAGATCCTTCACCACAATAGAAACGGGAAGGTTAAAAGGTTGGATTACAGGACTGTCTCTTTAATTGTTGGTGAGACCATGATCCTGTACTGGAAAGCTGCCTCATGTCAACTTTATAATAAGTGTTTTGCTATGTGATGTGCCCATAGCAGGATCCCGCAAGTGTATTTTTTAAAATGATGGTTAAAAAATGTTACAATCATCAACAACAAGCATTTGTGATGATATGTTTGGTTTATTCCCTCCGTAGAACAAGACTCTTCCACTGGAGAACACGACAGACTGTCTCAGCACCATGGCCAGTGTCTGTAAGGTCATGCTAGAGACACCGTGAGTTTCTTTTCTACACAAAAACTGACACATACACAATCAAATGGGTTCTTACAGGCCTTACAAGTCGTTTTTTTTTTTGTTGTTTTTTTTTTAAATGAAAAAAACTTATAGCAAGATGTCAGCACTTAAAATCTGAATGAGGCTCAAGTACCTTTGTTGCTGCAGCAAGTCTTCTTTAAAATGTAGACCCAATTCTTTCTTGTTTTACTATTCGTATCTAATCCCGTTTCTTTCTGTGTCCAGGGAATACTCGAGTCGTTTCAGCAGTGAGGACACGCTCTTGTTTTGCATGCGGGTCATGGTTGGAGTCATCATTCTTTATGACCACGTCCACCCCAACGGCGCCTTCAACAAGTCCTCCAAGATAGATGTAAGACGCGCACATTTGTGTATATACAGTATTATGAAATGTGATCAAAGAGCTCCGAGCCTGTAAAAAAGCTGAAACCTACCTGATTTGAATTTGACTGCTTCCCCCTTCGAAGTAGTCAGCTGGTGCAGTGATACACTGCTCTCAGTGCTCCTGTCACATCTCAAACCCACTCTGGAAGTCCTGTTGTGTCGTACAACAGCAATCCTTTCATTTGAATTTCATTATGGGGAGGAAGAAGAAGTTGCAAGGTGCCACATCTGGTTAGCAACAATAATGCTGTTGTGGCCAGAAGACATTTTCAGCAGGAGTAGCCACAATGGTCTCAGGCGAGTGATCTCCCTCACATCACAGTAAAACTTGATATCGAAAGTCTGATAATGGGGGGGTAATACATAACGCTCAGCTCTGTGAATGTTGGAAAAAACAACGAGCATCTTCTGACTGGATGTGCTGTCTCTGGTCTTGGAGACTGATGGTTTTTCAACTGAAGACTGCTGTTTGGTCTCTGGGTGCTGCTTTTGCAGGTCCACGGTGAAATCACAATTGTGCAGACACAAATGGTCACAAAGACGCAATATCGATCACACACTTACTGCTTGCAGCTGTTAAATATGCATGCTGCCCTTCATTAATGCACAGAACAGGCTCTGAAGTTTTTGATCACATCTCGTGTAAGCTTCACAAACTGTGTGAAGGCAGCACTGTGGATCTGATTTGTGATGCAACTCTGCTCTTTTGTCTTCAGATGAAAGGCTGCATAAAAGTCCTGAAGGACCAGCCAGCAGACAACGTAGAAGGTCTCCTGAATGCGCTCAAGTAGGTTCATTCATTCAACTATGGATGCTGACAGAGTATTTCTGTGTTGGTTTGCCACTATTAGACTTTGAAATGGCAGGTTCTGACAAGCATAAATCTGATCTTTGTCAATATTTTAAGACACAAAAAACTTAGCACGTTAACGTTGATGGGCCCTTTGTATCTTTAAACTGTCTCGTTGTGTTTCTTTGATCTTAAAAATCCCACTCATGTCCACTTCGACGTCCGTCTCTCCTCAGATTCACCACAAAACACCTGAACGACGAGTCCACTCCGAAGAACATCCGGACGATGCTCCAGTAATATTTGTTCTCTTTTATATATATATATAAATATATATATATATATATATAGATATGAAGAGGATCATTGCCCTGACCTCAAATAAGATGTATATGTTTACATTATTTAAAAGACTCGATGTTAATACTTGTGTGTATTTGCATAGTCATTCCCTCCAAGTTATTGAAACCTGCAGAATACGTACTTTCTACTTTGCAAAAAAAAAAAAATCTGAAAGCATCACATGAATTGCCTCTACTGTTAACAGCTGTCGAAGCACAAACGATGGATACCTATCAGCCTTACATACATATATATATATATATATATATAACGGAGCTTTGCAAAGCAGCACTTGGAAATAAATGAACAAGGCAGCATAAAAAATGTCCTTCAATGAATCTTTTCAATCTTTTATTTGACAATGAAATCAGTTTACTGTTTTTAATAAATGTCTTCTTGGGTTGTTTTTTTAAGCAAAATAAATCTGTTTTAGAACAGAGGACATTTTAAATTCTGATGTAGGTTATCACTTATATCACAAGAGAGATCATCCTGTGGTTTCACTTGATCTGCAAAGATGAGTTTTAATGACAGAATCTAAAATCAATCCATGTTGTATCAATCCTAAGATGGACAGTTCTGTTGCAGTGAAGGACTAAATGTTGAAAGCAGATAAGGGATCGATTGGTGTGACGCATTTCCAAGAACAGTCGGGTGTTTTCTCTTTTTCAGCCCGTTCTCATTTCCAGAGCGTCAAATGCTGCCGTATTGTCAAAGCTGCTGGTGTCACAGAGAAACACACAAGATGTCCTTTAGTGTCCTCATAGATGTACAGGAGTTACTGTTGTTGTAGTTTTAGCCCCTAAAGACTCATCTCTGGATGTCAAAGTTCAGTTTTTATATTTTTTTCTCCATGAAAACAGTTCCACTTGAAACCAGTTGTTAAGGATAATGATACAGAAAGCCCATGGTGTGTCTCCTAGCCTATAGAAAACACCATGTGGACTTGTAACAAGGTAAAAAATGTTATTTTCACCAGAGGGCACCTTAAAAGGAGCCTCATAAGGAGGTTGGGAGGACGAAGGGGACATAAGTTCACCCAGAAGACTGCAGGACTTAATGCTCAATTCAGATTTTTTTGTGAAATTCGATTTTTTTTGCGAGTTTGTTCACATTTCCAATTAAATGTGGCTTGTATGGGATCTCCTGTGTGAACTTTGTAAGACCCAAAAGTGTCCCGCATGCACAGAGGAGGACACAACGACATCACAGGCAGCGAGCATGCTCAGTAACGATGGAGAGTATCTTGCGATTTTAAAGTTGTTGTCCAACCGAAATAACCAAATATTAATTAACTCAGTTTTTTTTCACTTAGTCTAGTTTTAGTTTCTGACTGCAGTTTCGTTTTCATTCACTGTTAGGTCACCAAAACTCAATTTAAGTGTAAGAAAATCTAATTGTTTGGGCTTAAATACACTATTTCCCAACATTAAACACGCGTTACAAACTTTTTATTGCCTGAAAACTAGCAGCACCAGTTGAGAACCTGAACTGCTCATGGTGTCTATTTCTGACCCGTACACATTTTTATAAGTCTGCTGTACTGCCCTGTGTGTTGAAAAATCATGTTAAACGGGACCTTGTGCATTCAAATGTGACACCAAGAGGTCCTGACAGAACGGCAGCAAACAACAAATTGGAAGTGAGGTCGAGCTTGTCTTTTTATTGTCAGCTCTTGTGTTTTTCATCATACTGTTTCTCAAACTTCAGCCTTGTGCACCTGTTGAAATAAATCCACTGTGAACAGACAAACCTACTTTGCACGTGCAGTAAGATCCCGTATGTCGACGCATGCAGAGGTAGAGGTGATCGAAAAGTGCAGCAATGACGAATCGCTGAGTCAAATCAGCACCACCAAATGTTTAGTTGAATTGTGAAGTCTGCGTTAAGAATAATTGTGCGTTTTGCCATCTTTTGAGTGACTTTTTGATCTGTGAGGCTTTGCTATTAAACTTTTTTCTTTAAAAGAAAGGCCAAAAATATCTTTATTCTAAATAAATTATGTGGGTTTTTTTTTTTTAAGTTGAAGATTTTTAGAAAACGATTTCCACTTTTAAAAAAAATCCTCTTTTTTAGAAAGTATTTGGGTTGATTATTGGAGGAACAATGTGACCAGGTTCATTTTTCTTTTATTTTTTTATAACTTTTGATATTGTTTGACTTGTTTGGATTCATCACAGCCCCTGTAAACTCTAATGGACATCCGACTATTGCCTGGGATCATTTTATAGCCTGACAACTGACAAAATTTGCCTTAAATCAAACTGTTGAAGTAGGAGCAACGACTTTAGCCTGCAACTTTCCACGAATCATAACCTCAAACAGCCTCACTATACTGTGTATCACTAACAGTCTTGCTCAAACTCGGTCGGACAATCTGTGACTGTTCGCTTTAAGTTATGTTTCATTTTTACTGTAATGAGATAGAGTGCGTATTAAAGGATCCAACAAATATGAAGAGCAGTTCCCGAGACATTTTATTTTTCGGGAAAACTGCTATAAAACCTACCATTTTTACCATCTAACATAATAAAATAGTGACTACATCCCTCGCCTACACAATCATCCGCCTGATTCAATCTGAACTTCACCCCTGTGGTCTTAGAATAATGGAAATGTCTGTGGTTTAGCACAACATCGCCTTAAAGACTAAGCTGACAAATTTTAGGATTTAACCTGTGAAACAACTTTTTTTTTCAATTATTTTATTTCATCCACAAGCCATACACACAGTATACGGACCCATAGCCAGTCCTGTCCTTCGATTAACCTTCAGTTAATTAACATTAAATTAAGTAACACGTCATCCATTTATGTTTGATTCTCTTGTATTTAGTAATATATGCATACGTGTGTGTGTGTGTGTGTGTGAGCCATACTTTGGATGCAACGTTTTATATGCAACGAGTTAAAAACTGTACAGACTTGAAGCCGGGTGTACGTATGATAGCGATGTTTCATATCTGACTGAAGTGGTTTTTAAAAACAGTTTTTTTAAAAATCACATGGTCTGTCATGATTGATGTACACCAAGCTTCCCTCATTGCCCAAGAATATGCTACTGTGTGTTGAATGCAAGAAGTTGTTTTTGGAGGCGAAATCAGTTTTTGTTGTTGTTGTTGTTGTTGTCTTAAACTGACAGTTATTGTTGAGTATTTTTGGAGTTCAAACTCACTGTTTATATAAATTGCTTTGGCTTTGTTATTGCATACTGAATGGGATGTGTGGATTGGATAATAAAAGTGGTACATTTCTTACACAGACTGTTTCCTTTTGGCTTCCTTATTTACAATTTTTGAAGCGCACCTTGGCAATAAATCCCAATCTTATTCTTCACATATTTAAGATGCATTTTAATTATAAAAAATAAGGCAATGTCCGGGTGGGGAAAAAACGCTGCTAAAAACACTACAGCTCATGTAAAATACCGTGTCCTTATCTCTGTGGTCATTCCTCCAAAGTAATTAAATGTGAAAAATAAAGTATTCCTTTAAAAATTGGATGTACTAAAAAAAAGTAATAAATAAATTCATCCTGCAGTTCTGCCGTCCTCCATGTGGGGGCGATAGACTTCACTTCCTCTCATGTTGGTGTGCTGCAGAAACAGTCCAGGGTTGAAACTCAAACAGTGGAGTACCTGGAAGCAATAGTAATAAATGCATCACAAATAGAATTTCCAAATAGAAGAGTGAAATAAAACTTTATTACTTTCTTTTTTTTTTTGGAAATTTCCATCTTTTTCTTGCCACTAACTCCAGAAAATTAGATGCTGAATGTGATACCTTCTAATGCTGTTCAGAATAATTAAAATACCTTCACCTGGGACTCAGTAATAAGACCTAAAGCATTCCTATTATTTCCCATATTTCTAATCATAAAATACAGAACAAATATTAGAACAACATGCATCAAATGTTCTGACCAGTCAGGATTCAAACTATCTGCTCAGTGCATTCGTACCAACTCATCTACTGGGTTGCCCCCATTTCCAACATCTCTTAACAGGGTCACAGACTTCACACAGTCACTTTGTTGCAGAATCAGTCATTTTTTTTAACCCATAATTTGCCCTAAATGTGTTTCTTGCTGTGTGGTTACATCATGTTCAGCCCAGAGGAGTGGGACAGGCGTGATTACTTACTGGGAACGCTCCTGTGGGAGCGCTGGGACGCCCTGAGCGCCTCCACACTCAGCTGGGGCACCGGAGGCCTCACCGGCCTCGGACGCATCCCAGCGTTCCACTGGACGAGGCAGAGCAGGTCGCTGGTGGTCTGCTTGGTGAGAGGGTGGTCTGGAGTTTGAGATGCCCACTGGGGGCGGGTTTGGGTCTGATGATGATGAGGAGGAGGAGGAGATGGGATATGGTGGGGTCTGCAGTTGGAGCTGAGGAACATCTGAAAGAAGAGACAGAAGTTCTCAGAGAGTTGTGGTTACCTTGTTGAATCATTTAGACAGAAAGCTCAACATGATTCTCAGTGTGTTACAGTGCCTATAAAAAGTATTCACCCTCCTTGAAAGTTTCCCCTTTTTATTGCTACTCAACATTGAATTGTAGTCAGTTTATTTAGGCGTATTTGATGAGAAATTGCAAAACAAAGTCAAGGTGAAAACTGATTTCTAGTAAGTAATATCAAATAATTAAAAACATAAACCATAAAATAAGCAATGTTATAAGTGTTCACCCCTCTTCAAGTCAAGATTTAGAAAATGCACCTTTGGTCGCAATTACAGCATTAAGCCTTGTAGAAAGGTCTCAATCAGCTTTATACATGTGGACACTGCAATTTTTTACTATTCTTCTTTGTAAAGCCATTCAAGCTCTGGGAGGTTACACAGAGGTTGTGCCTGAACAGCCCATTTTAAGCCCAATCTCAAATTCTCAATTTGATTGCAGTCTGGGCCCCTGACTTGGCCACTCTAGAACATTCATCTTGCAGTCTTCAAACTATTTCTGTGTATCTTTCGTCATATGCTTCAAGTCTTTATCTGGTTGGAAAACAAATCTTGTCCCAAGAACTGCTGCCAAGAACTATCCCCACATCATGATGCTGCCACCACCATGCTTCACAGTGCAGATGGTATGTTTGTGATGATGTGTACTCTTTGGTCCAACCAAAGAACCTTCCTCCAGTTGACTTCAGAGTCTCCCACATCGCATCAACTTCTAGCGAACATTGGTCGAGATCTAATATGAGCTTTTTTCATTAGTGGCTTTCTCTTGCACAGTGCACAGTTTCTTCCATCTCAGCGGCTGAACCTTGTAATTCCTTCAGGAGTCATAGGTGTCTTGGTAGCCTTTCTAACTAGTCTAGGTCACCCAGTTTTTGAGGACGGCCTACTCGAAGCAGATTTCCACATGTGCCATATGACTTCCATTTCTTAAAGATGGATTAAACTGGACCCCGAGGGATATTCAGTGACTAGAATCTTTTGTTCTTTGTTCTTGTGTTCTTTTATCTTCATAGTGTAGTTATATCCAGGAGTAATGATTCACCAGTGATTGGACCTTCCAGATACAGGTGTCTTTATACTACGATCACTTTGGGCACATTCGCCTCACTTAAATGATCTTTATTCTATTAATTGTGTGACTACAAGCACCAATTGGTTTTCAACTAGAGGGGCTGAATACTTTACATTTTATATTTTTAATTTAATTGATATTGCTTCATAGAAATCTCCACTTTAACATAAAAAAAAGTCAGTGTCTTTTAGTTTTAACAGTAGTTCCTAAAGCGAGGCCTTAGATAAATGTATGATGATTTCACCAAAGCCTGAATATGAAATGCCACACTGTCCTCTCTTTCACCCTCTTCTCCACCTTTTCCTCAAACACCATCATCAGCATAATTTGCCCCCCCTCCATCACCTCCCTCTCGTCATTAACATGCATTTCTGTGTAAACGCTGCTCCATAATGCATGACGCCTGCTGGTTGCACAGTCTCCAGAGACTGCGTCGCGTTTATCATCTCCCTTTGATTCAGACAAGGGGGTCACAGTCACAGCGGGGTTATGGCGGCGGTGATGAATGGATCGTGGTTTACCAGCGATTTGGCTTTGCGGAGTTTGTAATTCGCCTCAGACAGTGTTTTCCTCTCCCCGTCGTCTGCCTTCATCGGGTTGCTGCAGCAGGTGGAGGCTCTGCTCTTCATCTGCCTGCAGGGAGACGAGCAGGTGGAAGAACATCTCAGTCCATCTGCATTGCTTTGCATAAAAAAAACAAAAACTGTGATGCATCAGTCATTTAGTTCAATCAGCTACAGTGTACTTTCAATATCTGTGAACAAACGGCTACGTCTTCATCTCAGGCTTATCGGATTTAGGAGGATCAAAACAGCAAAATGTGGCTGCTGATCTGCAAAAAGCAAATGATGGCATTTAAATAGTGATGCACCAACATGTTTGACACTAAATCTGTGCACATTTTTGTCTTGCTACTACTTCGAAATACAGATTTGGAGACTTTAAATCAACGAGTGGAAGATGTTTCAAAATTTTCTTCATTTCTTAAAAAGATTTTTTGTGGCCATGTAGTGTTTTGGTTTTTTATACTCTGAACAGTTTTGCATCTGGATTTCCTAAATGATTCATTATATTCACAAAAAATACCAGTCTTGCTGTGCATATTACTATTTCTGAAAATCCACTTCTTCTCTACCCCCAAAATCCCTGTAAACCTGCATATTAATTTCATGTTTTCAGTTAAACTATTCATATTATTTGGTCACAGATGATGTTGCAGACAAACAGACCTCAGTGTACTTCAGTAGCAGGATGCAGAAAGTTGTAGATGATGTGTTTAAGCTCAACACTGTTTAACAAATCAGCAGTCTTACACTCTCAGCTCCTGGTCGCTGGGGTCCAGGTTGTCCAGGTAGTTGAACCGTAGTGTGTCTCTGGGATGTCTGTCAGAGTCTCTCCATGGTGGGAGCTGCTTCTCTTTTCGTAATCCTAACCTGGAGCTGCTTCCAGGTCTCTGAGTGGTGGATTCTGGATGTTCTTCATCCATTAAGAGCAGATCTGAGGGTTCGTCATGTCTGCTGCTGACGTCTGCAACATCTGAAACCACAAACTGCTGCTGGGACGAGGCAGTCTGGAGATAGACAACACACTTTGATGGCTGGATGATGATGTAGTCATGCTTTTTGTTATTCTTCTCCTGAGCCACTAGAACTGATTAATGTTGAACCTTTCTGATTCTGAATGTGATCTGCTGACCTGCAGTGAGCTCAGTCGCAGCTCCTGGACTGTCTGGATGTAGTGTCTCTTCCAGATGCCCTGCTCGAAGCGTGTCGGGGAGAAGCTGATGAACCAGCCGAGCCTCAGACATTTGGGCATCCACAGCTGGTCCAGCTCCACGATGCTCCTCCAGTGCCAGCTCACCTGGAGCATAAACATGTGCAAAGTTTCTCCAGAAAGATAAAGCCAGTCTCAGTAATAACGCCACGACGGAGTGGGTTTGTGTACCTGGGCACATCGACTGAGGCTGCGAGGGTCGAGGAAGGAGAAGATGTAGAGACAGAGGGCTCTGGGCAGCAAGCAGGTGAAGTCTGCGGCCTGTAGGGGGAGCCGTCGGCTCACACTGAGGCTCAGGAACCGGAGTTGATCCACCGAACAGCTCAGCACAAAGTCCTGCAGCACTGCCTTCCTCTGGCTGTCAGACCACCTGTCAAACTGAGGCACACATGAAAGATTAGACAGAATTCTTTCACACTTCACAGTGTTTGAACTGAGCTGGATGGAAAATGGACTCCACAGAGCACAAAGTGTGGTTTCTAAACACGGCTCACACTGAGCTCACTGTACAGTAAAGACCCATCAGTGCATTTAGTGCATCTCCAGTCATAAACTTACCCACTTTCCCAGAAGGATTCGCCTCTCTTCAAACACCTGAGAAAGAAGAAAACAATTACAAAGGTCAGAAAAAATAGATAAAACAAACAGTAACATCTTATATTACAGTGATGGGAGGCAACACAGTGCATTTACTGAAGGCCTTTATCCCTCCACTTTATATATGTCAGAGGAAAACATAGTACTTTCTACTTCACTACGCGTATCTGACAGTTTAAATCACTTTCAAGATAACGATTTGACATGATGGATAATATAAGAAGCTTTTAAAATACAACATATTGTTCAAGATTGAAGCAGTGGTGCCAGTCAGGGTCACATTAAACATGTTTGAGTTGTTAACAGCTGCATCAAACTGGAATTTTTCACTCTGAGCTTTTTACATTTCAATAAATGTTTCAATAATTTCAACAAAAATCCAACATTGGAGAAAAACTGAAAACATATTTGTGTGTCAGAACTCAGTTTTTAATCATGTGACCGACCCTCAGATTTATCTGCAGTCTCTGTATACAAAACTGGAATTAAAGTAGTATAAACTCACTGTTGCTTCACTATTAATAATCTAATCATGTTTTATACTGTATATAATAATATATCCATCAGAAGGACCAAACCAAGAGTTTCACTGTAATACTATGCTAATATCTATATAGTTTACATAAGTAAGATTTTTAACAGAGTATTTGTACAGTGTGTTATTAGTATGTTCACTTTGTCCACCACAGCTGTGTTATCTAATTCTGATTATTTTCAGACCTTCGTGCCAAACTCAGTGGTATGGGTTCTGTGAATAGGACTGACTGAAACCTGCCTCTGGTTGAGTCTAGATTAATTTTTCTACTTGAGTCTTTACAGCGTGATAATTTTAAATCTTTGGTTTTATGGTTGCTAAAAGCTTAACTTTGGTTTTTCCACACAAACTGAAACTTTAACAGAACTTTTCGCAACTGAAGGGGTATTTTGTAACTTTTAAAGTTGCTCAGACTTGACTTGACTCCAGTGGTGGATCTTATCTTAAAGTTACACAGTAAATACCTACTTAGTGAAGAAGCATATTTAAGGACAATTTTGTAACTTAATTCCATTGTACTTATTAGTGTTTTTCAGTCATTGTTTCCAGTGAGAGAGCCCGAGCAGTTCCACCAAGGAGACACTGACCATTTGGGCTTCTGGTAATTTAATGAATAACCCCATCCAAATGAAATTCAAGTCCAATATGCAAGAAGACACATCATCAGTGAAGTAAGCAGTTAAAACCAAACTAAGTTTTTCCGACCTTGAAGCTACAGCATATAAATGACAGTCACAAAAACATAAGACTTAAGGAACAAATCCTGTCAACTTGCACGGTTATCATTATTCTTCTTCAAAATCAGATTCTGGATTAGACATTTACACCCATTTTAAGGCAGGAAGGGAATATTTCCACTGAAAAAAAACCCGCTTCTCAATATGTAACTTTGATACACAGAGAGGATTTGTTTTTGGACTTTAAATTACAGTTTTAAGCCCAAAGAGATAAAATTATCCAATATCTAAGGGATGGCCAGTATATTGGTGTTTGACATATCGCACCACTCAAAAGAAAAGCTGCATTATAGCTATTAGTAAGTGGCTTTTGGCTGACAGAACAGCTGTATTTCAGACTGAGGAGGTGTGACCTTCCTGTTGGCCGGCGGATGGTTCAGAGGAGTCCAGGCGCTCAGTTTGGTTTGCATCTTGGCACAGCTTGCAGAAGACCTCGGTGCATGTGGCATCCTGGAGTAGCTGAGAAAAGGTGATGCATTAAAACACACAAAATGAACCATTATTCACATATTACTGCTTTATATGATAGGAAACATGAGACGTCACAGTACAGTTGATTTTAGCTGCCTAATATATCATATCAGCTTTATCTCACTTTTAATGGATAAAATGTTGTAAATAATGATAGATTTTAATCTTAGCATGTTGTCAGATGTACTATTTTCTGAATTCAAGCTCTCTTTGTTGTTATGTTAAATACTCTCCAGTGTTACTCCTCTAAGCCTTTAATTCTGTATCTTGTAAAAAGCTGGAGTTAGACAATAGAAAGAAGCATTTCCAACAAACCCAGTCTGACACCACATTCGACACTGCTGCTCGGAACTGCACAGCACTCTCCTGTGGTATTCAACTCACCGTTAATTCTCCTCAGACGGCACAAAAGAAATAAATCCGACCCCTAAATACACTTTCTGTCTGCGTGCATACTTTGCACCCGAACTCCTCTCTGCTTCTTCCCACTTCTCTGTGCACAGTTTACTTGTCTCCATAGTAACAGTGAGTGTACTCTCCTTACATGGGCTGGCTGTCACACGCAGAAGGGGGGAGAAGTGCTGCAAAGCAAACCACCGTGGAGTTTGTGTGGAGTGTGCAGGCGTCACTGGCTCTAATGATGACAAATGTAGTGCAGAAGCCCTGACGCTGCAATCACTGTGGAGACCATCTGCCTCTGATTCTGCAAAAAGGATATGTCCACAGCATGTGTACTTCCATGTTGATCACACTCGGTACACATTCTGAACATGAAGTATCTGATTTTGATATGCACTGTTAATAATGTGCAATAAAAGTCATCCTGCATTGACAGGCCTCTTGAAATGAAGGTTAAATGCATGCACGAATACAATAAATCAGCCTTGAACATGTTGCTAAGTGTTTGATAGGTTACAAATGTATTTCAAAGCCTTTAATTTTAATTTTTGTTGTCATTTATATATAATACTAGTAGTATAACATAAGTAGTGGGCCCGTCTATGATGTAATAATGTGTCAGTGGTTTTCTACACATCTGCTTTAACAAACTGCTGCTGTGGCCTCCTGGTGAAAGATTTCTCTTCTGTCTTGCAGACTTCGAGCTGAAACGCTCAGTTTTCACCAGTCAGAAGTTTTTCATTCAAACGCAAAAAGCCTGCGCGTCCTCGGATGGGCGGTGGCGCGCATCGAAGACAGAAAACCTGCTGTGAAGAAAGAGAGAGAAGAGCGTCAAGTTCAACACACATAGACAGAGCTGAACCGGAAAGAAGACCAAGACACCTTCAGAGTAATGCAGTGGGAAACTCTCGTGTCAGGTAGAAGGTATGAATACATAATTACTACAGAACAATGCCGCCAGAGGAATGTGTGTTATACACAGCAATATTGTATCATAAATGCATCACTGCACAAAGAACATATTACCTTTATAAATAATTTTTTAACCACTCTAATCCACACGGTGCACTGTATTTTATATGACAATCTGTAAAATCACTAGTGACTATGACTTTAACCTCTAGCCTTTCTAATATATATTGCACAAAGGTACATTATTAAATTAAGCATTACAATTATGATCCTACAGTATTATACAAAAGTAGCTGTTTAAATTTGATATTGAAGATAACACCTTACAATAAAATGATATTATATATTGTTTGATGTTGTATTTATAACACAAAGCTGTCTGAATAATTTAAATATTAAAGTTAAGACCCTACAATATTATATAAACTACAAATTAACCCAACTAAGTTAAATATTAAGCTTTAAACCCTGAAAAATCATATGAAAACAAATTTAGCTGTCTAAATTAGATATTAAGTTAGGGACCCTACAAAATAATACATGTGTGTATATTTATTTTTGACAGTTATTGCTCAGAAAAAACAAGCAGACATAAAAAAAAAATAATAATGCAGTGCTGAGAAACTGAAAATAAGATAGGTAAGCTAAAGTAAAAGACTAGATTAGATAGATAGATTAGAAAGTAATAATAGAGAGAGCAGTATATATGAGTTGTGTGTGTGTGCGTGTGTGTGTGTATATATATATATATATATATATGTACTGACATTGAAGAAAGTAAAAAAATAAAAAATAAAATCTTAAAAAAATTCTCCGTCTTATTATTCTGATGTTTAGCAAATAGGAATAATTTTGGTAATCCTAACTGGCATAAAACAGGAAAAGTTTTGATTTAATGTCAGGCAATAAGAAAAAAAAAAAAAAAGAAAAGAAAAGGTTGTGTGTCTTTTTATACAGTGTGTGTAAAGTTGCCACTCATTACATGGTATAATACACTTGTTTTCTTAGGAAACGCACATTTTGAAGTTATGCCTTCGTACATCATTTTCTGCTCATGTTTATTTTTTAGGTACTATTTGTCCACTTATGTTTAAATTTTAATTCATGTTTTGAACTTATGTTTATCTATAGATTTTGTACTGTTTATATTTCTTCATAAATACTTTTTATAGCACTTTTTATACACTTTTCTTTTCTTTACATACCTTTCTAGATATTGTAGTTGTGTTTCTTGCTTCTGTGTGCTAAGTCAGTAGTTTTCTGGCTCTAATGTTGTTGCTTGTCTTCTGTACTTGTTGTCGAGGCTTTTAATTTTTCAGTTCGCACCGGAAGCCACTTCGTGAGTTCCGCCGCCTTTCTGCTCTCAGGGGGGAGGAGGAGAGAAGGGGAGGACAGAGGGGGGAGGACAGGAGGAGAGGAGGGAGTCCAGGGACGTTCACTCATTGTTACAAGTCGAGGAGCGGCGGAGACCCCGTCGCCACACGTGAATTCCGGACCAGCGCTCAGGTAAAGAAGTTCGCATTTCTCCGGTTAGCTTCACATTTATCGGCGGGGCGTTTCTCCTGAAACTCCGCTGCCGCCCCGCCGGCCAACCGCACGCCCGCCCGAGCGACCGAGCGCCCGACCAACCGGCTCGGTGAATTAAAGCCCCACCGGCACGGCTGCGTACGCTCCGGTTCACTATCAGAACTAACCGTCATCTTTTGTCCGCCGTTTGCTCACGTTTGTGTCCGTTAAACCGGATAATCGCGAGTCAGCTGCAGCGCGGGGGGGCACCAACCAGCTACCGTGACCAACCTCACCGTAACGTCTGTTAGCTTCAGAAATTAACGGACGAATCCCGGCGAGCAGCAGCCGCAGGAGGAGCCGGTAACACCGACGCACAGGTGGGCTAACGGACGCTCCGGTGCCGCAGAGAGACGAATTAAAACTCCGAAGCTTGTCAGGCATTTTTACGAAGTAGGAACAGGTGTAAATAATAGAATATTGTTCATGTTGTGGCCGTGAGAGAACGTAAAGGTGTCGGGCTGCTCTGGGTGTGTGCTGTCATGTTAATGACAAAAATGGCGAAATCAAGAACGGGTTAAAATTATCACCAAAACTGTTACTAAACTGTTGTTAATGTAATTACACTCATACTAGTAAAATAAGGACAAACTATAGTAAGTTACATGTAAAAACACTGCTTCTGAATGCTTTAATGTGATAAATAATCTGGATATTTGCTCTAGTTGTAGGGATTTTAGATTATTTTCTCGGTTATTCGATTAATAGTTGTCAGAAAATAGTGAAAATTGTCCATCAGTGTTTCCTAAGACGACCAATCTGTAGTTAATCTAATTACACTGATACTATTATAAAGGCTGCAATATGTAGTAAACTAGATGTATAAACTACTATTAAATGTTGTATTATGAGAGTTAATTTGGATATTTGTCTTATAAACAGGGCTTTTATGTTAGTTTGTTTCAATAAAATGCTAGAAATGGAAAAAAAAAAACGAGTGTTTCCCAAGATGACCAGAACAGTTTCTGAACTTTAATCTAATTGCACTGATACTAGCCAAAAGACAACAAATTCTAGTAAGTTGCATGTAAAAACTATTACTACATGTTTTAATATGATGAATGATCGGGATATTTGCTCTTTCTATTGGGATTTTTAGATTTTTTCCCCTGGTTATTCGATTAGTAGTTCTATAAAATGTCAGAGAATAGTGAGAACTTGTCCATGAGTGTTTCCCAAGATGACCAAACCTGTTTCTGATCTGTAGTTAATCTGATTACACATTTCTATGTAAAAACTTCTTTAAATGTTTTAACATGATTATTATTCAGGATATTTGCCCTATATACACTGCTTTTGGATTATTTTCTCAGTTAAGTGAGTAGTTGTTTTTCTATAAGATGTCAGAAAATGGTAAAAAAAAAAAAAAAATGTGCATCAAGTTCTCTCAAAGCTCAAGATGCTCAAATGTCTTATTTTGTTCGCAGCCTTAAAATATTCAGTTTATTGTCACAAAGGAATAAAAAAAACCCCAGAAAATATCCACATTTAGGACACTGAATCCCTTTTTCTCCTTAACACAACAGTATATTGACAAATTGTTTATTCCTACTATACATGCTCACTTTTATAAATTTCAAATTGCGTTCTTAGATGTTAAGCGTTATAAACATTTCCTCACCAACCAATGCACAGTTGAAGCTGCTGTGAAATGTGTGTAGGTTTTCTGAATCTGTTATTTTATATTATTCAGTAAATGACTAATTGCTGGGATTATTTTAAAATGTATTGGTGAAATTACTTGGTACAGTTATTGTCAATGTGATTTTTATTAAGGAGAGATGCTAAAACTCTTTTTTCTAGCTTCATAATATGTGAATCTGGAATGTTAATGTGAATATTATTATTATTATTCTACTTTTTGTGACATTAACTTTTCTCAATTAACCGGTTTAGTCCATAAAATGTAAGAAAATGTTGAAAAATGTCCACCGGTGTTACCTCTAACGTGTTATTTCGTCTTTCAACCCAGAGATATTCTCTTTACTATCATTGAAGAGTGAAGAAACCAGAAAAAAACATATATGAATAGATATAGATACACATGTTGGTATTTAAAAAGCTGGAATCAGCTGAAAAAAAATTACCCAAACCAATTAATCCATTATCAGAATAGCTGGTGATTATTTCATAGTGGACAACTCATTGATTAATTGCTGCAGCTTTATTGCCATATGGCCAAATGGACTCTACTTATAGAAAGGCTTTTAATATTAACCGGTCTCTGTGAGAAATCTGTGGACCATTAATCAAAAAACTAAATGTAAACTGATTTTTTTTTTTGTCCTAAAACTACTATTCAAACCAATTAATCGATGACTAAATAGTTGACGGTTAATTTAATAATCAATTGTTGCAGCTCTAACTGTATATGATTGTTTTGGCTGTATTTTGTACGGTAGATTGCTTTTAATTAATGCTGGTAGTGTTATCATTCATCTGTATCGTCTGCACAACCAAGCCGCCATCGTTAGTGACCTGAAAAGCAATTACCAAGGCTTCAGAAACAGCCTTTTGTGTGTTGTTCTACTTGCAATCTGTAATTAGTTTAATTTTCAGCTACAAGGTCAGCCTTGAGTTGCTCTTTCTTAAAGTGTACTGTAAATGTTGTGTTTTCTGCTGTTTAATCAAGTTTTAATATATTTGTGCTTTAATATTTCTGATTACAGACTGAGCATCACTTCTGAACACCCGTGGTTGTTCCTGATATTAGTATAAGGCATCATCGCTGCCTGTCGAGGCAGAAGAGGGAGGAGTGTGAACCATTCGGTCACAGCGCAGCATCTTAAAGCACCACAGCATCTCTGAGGTGATGGAGTCCTTGTGACACACAGTGTAGACGCTGACTGGAGTCTCCACGGTGATGGATGCAGCCGGCTTCTACCATGGCCGTGTTGGATTACGCTGCCCGACCCAGACTGTTTCTCTGTGATCTGAAGAGGAGGAAGAGGCTACCAGACGGTCCTTCAGCCTCCTGATTTCCCTTTTCCTGGTGAACGAGGCAGATGCTACCAGGGCTCAACCCTTCATCCTAACCATCCGTCGCCTCCTTTCTCCTGTCATGGATCTCCTGTGGGCGCTGTCTGTGTCCATGCTGACGGCGTGCGTCGCCATCCCCATGGATGCGGCGGCCGGCAGCCACAGCCTGTTCACCTGTGAGCCCATCACCCTGCGCATGTGTCAGGGGCTGCCCTACAACTCCACCTTCATGCCCAACATGCTGAACCACTACGACCAGCAGACCGCCGCCCTCGCCATGGAGGTACAGTACCCCGCTGACACGTGATGTAAAAAGCTTTGCCCAGTTTATTTCTTAGATTGCAAGACACAGTGAGGATATATGTTGATATTTTGTGCTTCCAATCAGTAAGAATAATTTTAAAGAAAATAAAGTGTTTTGTCGCCACGGGAAAGCTGCAACCGAAAAATTCAAATTACAGTGTGATGTAGAAAACAATGGGACTCACTGAAACGTAGGCTTATGAATTTGGTTCATGCAAAGTAGCAGCTGTGTGCTCGGTTTTGATTACATGAAATGTACAAAAATGTCATAAAAGCTAAAAAGAAATCATATTTTAGACAAGCTGACAGAAAATGAAAACATAATTACAAGATTTTTGACGTAATTGGGCTCAGCCATGGAGGAAAGCCATGATTCAAGACTGCAGAAGATGACTAATACATACCAAATACAAGTAAAAAAAATCCTATAAATTACTGACATTGGCCTATTTCTGTTTGTTGAGTAGTACTGCTGCAATGTCGTTTTTTTTTTCTGCAAAGGGAAATTTCTGGCATCACTCAAAAAGGTTTAAGGCTCCACAAAAATCATGAGAATTGAGAATTACATGTGAAAATATCATTTTTTTAACCAGCTGTGTTAATTGTATTTTCATTTAGTTGAGCTTATTAGACATTTTTGTTTATAAAATGGTCAAAAATAACAGGACAATACATCCTTTTCTGCCAAATGAGGTAGCACAGACTCATTGTCTTTACTGTACGGAGACCGATCATGCTTCTAGTCGTGTGTAGTCACCCCACAAAGGAACGGTCTGAGCTAAAAACAATCCTGCTACTATTTATATTGTTATTGATTAGTCGTACAGCTATAGATTGGAGACACAACTGGCTCCAAATGGCCTGTAATAAATGGGGTTCTACAGTAATACAAGTAATTGTTTCTCACATTTTGAGAAATGCAATGCTTAATCCGCTTTATATTGGTTGCACTTTTTACTCTTGCATGCTAAACTGTGAACATTTCTTTATTCAGAAGTGATAGCTAGCTGCAGTTGCCCTCCCATAAATTGAAGAGAAATTGGAAAAATAATGTAAAACAGTATGTTTTGTCATATTTGTTTTAACCGTGACCTGGAATTTTTGCTCACGTATTTCTTCTCTTCAGTTTCTTTCTGTTAGTGAACATTTCGTAGCATTTTCTTTTTTTTCTCCGTTCTACAATTGAGTTGGATAGTCAATAGAAAATTAACAAACCACTATTTTTGATACCCAGTTAACGTTTTAAGTTATTTTTTAAGCAAAAATGCCAAATCATAAACCTGAAATTAAACATTACAAAAAAATTATTGACTGTAATTTTGTTTAACCATTTTTATTATCTGGGAATTGTTTAGTCAAGAAATATTTACATTTTTGGTTATCAAATAGTCAAAAATAACAGACAGGTAGTCAGCTTCCACAGACTCAGTGCCTCTTACTGTATACATGCTTACTGTTGTACGTCGCCCCATAAATGTCCATTCAGAACCAGGAAAAACCTTAAACATGACCAATAGATATCTGATAAGTAAGAAGGAATAGTTGCTGTATTTCTGCTATTGTTTATATTCATGAAACTATGTTACAGTTGTGGATTGGAAGAAGGCATGGGTAATGAATGGGCTTGGATCTGAACAAAGTAATACCTGTAACTACAATAACTCACGTCCAAAGTGGCATATCAGGTTTCGAGGTCTTTAAAGTCTATTGGGTTTCGATGTCAGCCACGGTTTGCGGTTCTCCTTTAACATTGTATATTGTTATATTTTTTAAAGGAATGTGACCTTTTTTCTTTATGCCCATTCTTCCCTCCTACTTTCTTATTGTTCTGAGCATTTTCTCTGGTTTCCTTCACTCCTTTTCTTTGTTGTGACACAAGTTTTTGTAGGTATAGGTGACACATCTGCAAACACACAGATTCAAAAACACAACAACGTACAGTAGCAGACAGCATTTCTGTATTTATGTGTTAAACAGGTCTGGACGGGAGTTTGAAATCTAATTAGTCTCCTGCACATATTGAAAAAGTGCACTACCTGCCCCATGGACATCAGTAGCCTAGATAGCTACCACCACGGCCAACTGGATATGTGCTGAGAGTTGGTAATATGTTAGTGCTACCCTACTTAAATTTGGCTCCTCTAGCTCCAGGGATTGGGAGTATATTACCCAAACATTAAGCAGAAAATTAAGTTTTAATATTTGTCGCTGCAGGCCATGAGAACAGTGCATTATTAAACGCACACAGACTTAACAGGGTGTGTTGTCCTAAAACGGTTTCTGGCCGCACATCTGGCATGCTGACAGACAGGGTGATTTGCCACTACGTGCAGAGACTTTTCACATCAGTTGTTGTGCATCAAAGCTGGTTTTCATGACAGAGTTTTCTGCAGTTACTGTTTCATTTTTGGTTCAGTTGACAGATTAAAGCTCAGAATTCAGTGTTTAGTACAAGCTTTATTGTTTTAGCCTCTTAGGCAATCTATAGATTTAGCGGCCACAGCAGCTGACTATTGTTATGGCTGTGTTATCCTCTTTGAAACGTCGAGTTAGGCATTTAAGCACAATCATGGAGCAGATGCATCACCTCGTTAAGTTAATCCCATCCTTTATATAGGCTGATCCCTCGTGAAGCTCAATCTATCGAGCAATTACTGGCCAAACCGCACCAAAACACGAGATTGGATGCTCTGTTGGCTAAACTGTCTGCTTATGTGTGCGTGTCGGTGCATCCATCTATATTTATCTGAGTTTATCTCGGCATCATGTTCCCATTTACTCTCGCTCCCTCCACCACTTTTACCCTTCGACCCTGCCCCTCCCCGCCCCGCCTGGCACAGCCATGATGTCGATGTGCGGCACCTGCCGACCATCTGTGCCGGCTCCACTTCGCTGTACTCAGCATGGACGCACTGAGCGAGATGGATAGATGGAGGGCGGGAGGAGCTGTGTGCCACAAAAATCCAGGGTTATGTAACCTCTGAACATGCCCTGCCCGGCTGTGAGAGCACGCAGCATCACATCACATCGCAGCACGTCACAGCTGCACTCGCATTTGGGCTTGTCTTTGGAAATGATGCAAGTGCTCCCATGGCCGTCTGCTCAGACTGTGTCCTTCCTTGTCATTGCCGAAATGCTCGCTCTCATCTTCTGGACATTGCCATGTTGTTTTCATACATATTCAGGGGGATTTTTTTGGGGTGAAAACGGCTGTATGTTGTGTAGTTAAATCATTTCTCTCATTGCTGAAATCTTACTGAACCAGTGCTGTGTTTTTTGAGGACAGGTTTAGCTTTTTACGCCTAATCACAGTGTGTGTGTTGCAGTGAACAGCGAGAGGCACGTCTGGTTTAGACGGTGTTCACTTTGATTTGTCATGGATTCACAATTAAGTCTCTTTTAGCGCTCAGAAATGCTTTTTGGGTTTGGAAAACACATGGAAACCCAATAGGTTCCAAATCATGGAGACTATGCCTCTGTTTGGCTCTTGTTTTGCAGATAACTCGCCCTAGATCCAGTTCATGGGAGAATTCAAAGCCGGTAAGACGTTGAGGGCAGCCAAATGAGAATTGACAGTTGATTTTAAAGGGAATTAGGTCTGCTGAATAGCCATGATAATGATGATGAATGCCTTGCACCGTGGAGAAACTGGGAGTTGGACGAGAACCAACGCCTGCGGTTTTTGCAGTTTTTGTATAAACCCCCTGAAGTGGTGTCTTTGGATTTCTTTTTTCATGTCTTGCCTTTCAAGGCCCTTTCAAGGTTTGGAGTTTTTTTGGAAAGTGGGGTAATTTGTCATTAAGCTGTTAGTTATAAACCTATAAAAATTTGTAAAACCGCTGTCTAATGATGTTTAAATTAGATTTTTTTGTGTAAGACTGCAAACCACAGTTTATATTTACACTAGTGCAAAAAAAAAATGTTTTTACTGTATTGCACAGATACATTTTAAATACATTTTTTATACCTGCCTGCAAAGAAGCAAGACAAACATTTGAAAAACAAAAAAAACAAAAACTGGATTTTTATGTTTTGGCATTTATCCTGGCTCAGTCAGTCATTGCTGACCGCCAAATGACCTCGCAGCTGAAGTGGGACAGCGGCCTCAGGGCTTGGGAATTGGCTATTTCTGTGCCACAATGATATTGTGCCACATTCACATAAGATAAGTGAGAGCGTGGCGGATTTGACTGGCATTACAAAAAGAAAAAAAAAGAAATGGGTTAAAATCCCCTTATATAGAGATAGATGCACACTGTAGCTACCAGATGAATGTAAAGCAGCGTGGCTTCATCACTGGAAATCAATTACGCTGGTATGAACTGTCCTTGGCATCCGAGACAGGCGGCATTTGGTTCACAACTCCGTGATGATGTACAGTATGATATCATAACTGCTCTTTCTTTGTTACATTTCTGAATGAGTAAAATTCCTCACGGTTTTTGTGTTTTCCATAAAGTTGAGACAATTTGCGGTACCGGTTAGTTTTACTTTTGCAAATTATTACACAGATAACCAACAACATTAAAAGCACTGACAGGTGAAGTGAATAACATTGATCGCCTTGTTACAATGCAGTGTTGTGCTGGGAAACCTTGGCTCCTGGAATTTGTGTGAATGTTTTTTTGACACGTACTAGCTACCTAAACAATGTGGCAGACTAGGCACACCCTCTCATAGCAACGGCACCTTGCCACACCGCAAAATTGCTCAGGAACGGCTTTAGCAGCACGAAAAGAGCCCAAGGGGTTGACGAATCCTTTAAAGTCCCCAGATCTCATCCAATCGAGCATCCGCGGATGCTTCAGTCAACAAACCATGGATTCGAAAGGGACGTACATGATATTCGGCAGGTGGTTTTTATGTTATGGCTGAGTAGTGTAGGGCTGCCACCGAACTCCAACCATTTGTATGAGAAATCACACATCAGTCTCGTACTGGATTCACATGATCTGCTACAGAGAACTGAATGAAACGTTA